CCATCATTTAATTTACAAATTTAATTTAAAAATTTTAGTGTACTTAACATTAGCCGATACCCAACCCACAAAAATTTGTAGTCCAAGGGCTTCAATCCAATTCACAAACCCAACCCAAAATACCAACTCACAAAAATTGAAAATTGGAGAAATATAATACGATCCTTTCTCGCTTTCCCAATTTGCCTGGTAAATTTGGATGTGCAGGAAAAATGTTAGGGCTCACTGCTCTCACAACCCCACCAATCCCAACACTTCCACCTCCATCGCTACGCACCCATTTCAATTTCTCTTCTTATTCGCCCCTCAAAACCCAAATCCAAAAAATACCCAAAAGATTTGTGGTATTTGCGAACAACGGCAACGGGTCGAAGCAGGATTCCAATTCCGAGGAGAGGGAAGAAGAGAAAGGCGACGAAGAAGGAATTGGATCCGACGGTGGGGGCGGTGACGATGATTTGGGGAAGAATCAACGGCCGTTATTCGGCAACATCAGATGGGGTGATCTGCTACTGGACCCAGATCCTAACAACATCTTGGCCGTCGGATTGACGGGGCTGCTGACGTGGGCGAGTGTGCAGGTGCTGTGGCAGCTTCTGTTCATCGCATTGGCTATACTTGTTGCTGCTGTTAAGTATTCCTTCATTGCTGCTGTCCTTCTCTTCATTCTCATTGCCCTTCTTTGACTCACTCTTCTTCCAATTCTACCCCCAAACTGTTCTTCTCTGGCTTGTTGTAACTCAAGCGATTAAGAGCGTTTTTCTGTATTTGAATCGAAAAAGAAAAAATATAGGTTTGTTTAGTGTAGTCTAAATGCAAATTTGTGCTGAAAAACAAATATTTGTGTTATTTACACGCAAGTTTGAATACTCAAACCCGTAAATTAAAGTTGTTTAAAGTATCGTTTTTGTCAAAAGAAAAATGTTGGGTTAGAAACCACTAACGGTTACTGTGCGGAGTTTTTACCCCGCAAAGAAATTACTCGAGCCTTATCTGCTTTCCAAATTGAGTTCGAATACATTACATGAAGGGATGAACAAGTCACAACAAATCTGAGGTACAAAAGGATGGATGCATGGCCAAAAAAGCCAGAAATCATACGGTCAGTTGCAACTAAATTAACCACACAGCAATGCAGAAACGCTGCCCCGAGTAGTTTGGTACAACCTCGGGGCATTCAGACTCGATATCCCAGCACCCTCAATACTCTTTTGACGCTTCAGATCTCTCTTCTTAATTTACCATACCAACTCCCCGTGCTCTTTCAATGTTGTTTCATAAAAATGTCATCAAACCAAGAAAAATTTAGGATGGCCGTCCAAGTTGGACGGGTGGGAAAATATGCAAAAGGTTGTTTTTTCATATCGGCAGTCAATTTTTGGCACAAAAAGAAAAACAGAGGGAAGTTAGAGAAAAGGACATGCTTCTAGTTTTTTAATTTATTTTAATATAAGCCACGATCAGAAGAAGGATTAAACATGTTTACTCAATTTGAACTTGAGAAGTCGCGAATCAAGTTATAGGGAAAAAAGAGAATGGGTATATGATCAACTAGTCCCAAAGTTTATCCGGTTCTCGATTTTTCTAGGAACCCACTCTATTTTTGTTTCCATATGTGGTAAACTAGAAAATTTTCAGTACCGATGTTTTAGTTAACGAAAATAAGTAATGAATCACAAAATGTACGAGCTAATAAATATGTGAACCTTAACTTATACTTACCTTGCCAGATTTCAGCTAGAGGGAAAAATATCAATGAAAACACATGAAAAAAGGAAAGGAAATAATCTACGACGAACCTCCAAAAATAACCAGATGTTGTTCCCTCTTCCGCATTGATATTTGGTTGCAAACGAGTAAGTTTAATGCTCCTGCTAAAACAAGGAGTTAGGAGTCCTTCTTAGTTCTTACTAGTATAAATACCCCCTTCATGAACAATACAAGGCGCGCACTGAGCTGGAAGTCGAGTTCTTTGGTTCAGAATTTTACGAGTTTACAGTGATTATTGGAGAGTATTTACTCGGACTACATCGTTGTGTTTTTTCCTCTTAAGAATTTTGCGGTTAGTTTGTTGATTACAATCGTAATTCAAAGGATTGGAATATTTTGCGATAACAATGGCTTCGGAATCGAACTACAACATTCCAGGAGAAATTCCTGACATTGTGTCCTTGTATACGTTTGACAATGGACCTAAGAGAAGAAGCAGTGAAAAAACAAAGAGTAGTAAAGGAGAAAATAACAATGAAGCGACCTCCTCGTCAGCCACAGAGAAGAAAAGCAACTCTAGTAAACGACAACCCACTGTGAAGGACTGAACGTCTGAATCTTTTAGCAAGGAAAAAACGACATTAGAAGCCATGAGTTTTAGATGCAATAAAATTGTAGGACCGATTTCAAGTCTTAATGCTTTGACATGTTGAAGTATTGTAAACTTCGACAGATTTTTGTTTTGTTTTTATTTTTATTTGCAGATTCTCTTTGACAAGTGTTTAAACTAGTGAATGTTTAGTTTGAAATTTTTAGTATATTTGTTTTAATTTAATAAGTAGTTTACAATTCTTATATAATCAGCTAATAATATTCATGTTTGAACAAATGTCATTATATGGAGTAGAGTTCTTTCTCTTATCGACTTTCAAACCGAACCATGCAAATTCTTCGATTTACTTTCGATTTTATGGTAAACCAGACGAAATCGAACCATGCCCGCCCATACAAGGGAATGGTCAGTCTAGCAAACCCGAACTAGCACTATATAATTTGCGAGGTATGTTTACGAGTTTTTATATTAAGTATTGCCATGTTATATTGACAAGGGAGTACTAATACACTCATGTCGTGTTGCAGGACTTTTAATGAGTGTTGTTACATTAAGTACCTGAAAAAAAAATGATCCTATTGTAGTTATATTTTACGTAAGAGTCCAGTATAGTCTTTGATTTGAAGAAAAGAAAGTTGAATAATGTTTGTATTTCAGGGAGGACCGTGGTTTCCCGACTCACGCCGTAAATTCTTGTGCTGTATTCCAACAATATAGGCCTTCGGTTTGGACGCGTGACATGACTTGTCTCTTTTGTGGCTTTAGATTGTTTCAAGTTTCTCTCTTTCTCTATTGTCTCACAAGAAAATCCTAGGATGAGAACGAGAAAGAGAGAGAGAGAGAGAGAGAGAGAGAGAGATATGATAAGTGTGCCACATGTTTGAAAACCACCAAAAACTTATTAAGAAAATCTTGGGACGTTTTTGTATCGTCACAGGCCAAATTAGGCCTTTTTACTTAACTTGAAAGCCTAACAGGTCCAAGCCCAAGACCAACTTCAATCGTTGAGTTAAAACCTAAAATACTTACACAAAAAAATCTCCAACATTGAGCCTAAAACAAGTTTTGGAATAACACATAAATTTGGGAAGATTTAGCCCAAAAAACTGGCAAAACCTATTTTTCTGGCCCACCATTGCGCGTGGACGCATCAAACTCAAACCCACTCTGGGTGCACTAACGCTCACAACGGCTTTGCATGCGACATATGTGACATGCCAGTTAGTGCTAGGACCCAGCGGGTTGACGCCTATCTGCCACTTACACCAGCCCAACGACTGGAAATAATGGGTCGTTGGTTGATCCAACTGTCCAGATTCAACTTCTTAAAAAAAAAAAAAATTATAAATTCATTAAATTTGACGGCTGAAATTGAATATGATCAATTCTAGAGGTTAAAAAAATAAAATCAAACTATCCAGAATTAAATTCAATGGCTAAAACATTTAAAAAACTGTTTTTGGGGGAGGTTCATGATTTTCTATTATTTATCAGAATTTATATATTTTTAGGTTAAAATGTTCATAAAATAAAAAAATAAAAAAATAAAAAAACTAGAATAATCTACATAAATTTTATTTTTAAAAAGTTACAAAAAAAAAAAGCTTAAATTCATTTTTAACAATCTTGGGCTAAAACCTTAAGCCTAAATTATTAAGGAAGAAAAATTGTGTTTGGATTAAAACCTAAATTTATCTCAACCATTGAAGTTGGTCTAAGAACATCACCAATGGAGACTCTAAATAGAGTCCCTACAACCGTATAGTCCCTAAATATAGGGACAAATCACTTCCAATGTGCCAGAATTGAAGTCCTCAAAGTATCTCAATACATAGAAACTCGCCGGATACCTGAAAAGAATTCTCAAATATACATACTACATATAGAGACTCAAATAGTGGATTCCATATTAATTTTGAGTGAGAATGGTGTTTCTCTTTATGTTTTTTTCCTTGTTTTTTGAACCCACCCAAGTGGGACAACTTCTCATTTGCAAATTCTTGAAAAATCATTGGTAGAGATAATTTATTATTTTTTATCAATGATTACAATATTTCAATGAAATGAAAGATAATTTTTTTTAATATTTTAGTCCCTATATTTAGGGATTATACTATAAGGAATTTCTATTGTAGACAATATTCTTTTAGGGACTCGAATATTCCTATAAAACTCCTAAATGAGTCATCAAAGGTGGTCCTAAGTAGGGCTCCCATTGGAGATGCTCTAATGGACTTAAAAATCCGAAACTAAATTAAGGCCAATTTTGACATTTAATGATCCTGTAATTAATTTAATAGCCAAGTTCTAAACTTAAGCTTAAATATTAATTAAACCAATTAACTTAATCAGATTCATTGGTTTTTTCTAAACTTAAACTTATGAGTGTGTTAAGCATCAAGTTCTAGTTAGGGAGCAAGGAGGTGATTAGAAAAACCCACACGTGTTGTTCTCTGGAAGTGCCACGTCACTTTTGTGTAGGACTTCCTGCTGAGTTTACAGCAGGGAAGTATTGTTCTAAAAAATATTCTAATTAAGCTTCCAAATCACCCAAAGAAACCAAATAAAATTATTTAAAACAGTAGGCAGGTTTTAGCCGTTATAACTACGCAAACTTTTTCCCATGCTTTTCGAAATTCCCATTTTACCCTTACCGACCAAAACGCTCAAATTAAGGCCTCATTCACATTCCCCGCAGAGTCATTGGCCTTCTCCCATTTCAAAACACCCCACCTCGCCCCCCTTCTTCTATTTAAGAAAATCAGAGCCACCGCATCTCCCAAAATTTCAGCTCAGCTCAGATATTCGCACCAAAATTCACACACAGGTATGGCTTGTTCTCCATTCGCAGTTTCGATTAGCATTTGATGCAATTGAAATAGGTTCTGATCTGCGTTTCTGGAATCGAATTCTTTTGCTCCGCATCATGTTTGTTAATGCTTGATTTGACTGGTAAGCGTCGTCCCATTTTTTTTTTTATTTCGATAAGATTTTTTGTTTTCGGTAGTTTTTTGAGCTCGCATTTGATCGGGATTTTGAATCTTTTGCGTGGATCTGATCGGTGTGGTTTTGAATCATCCGTGTCTATTTGGTTTGGTTTCGTGGAAGGGAGTGGAAAGTCTCAAGATTTTTCTTTTCTGTTTATTCATTTGAGGTTGTTGATTGTCTATGTGTGGATTTGAGCTCGCATTACTCGGTTGAGTGTTCGATCTGAGTCTACCTGATGCTTTGATATGAATTTTCGTTTTTTGTTTTGTTGAATTTTGGCCTTTCTATTGTCTGATTGCATATATGTTTTGTTAGATCTTGACGTAGTTCTGATTGGTGTTGCATTGATTCATGAGGAAAAGGGAGGGAAAGGTTGAGAATAAAGTTTTGCATTTATTTATATGCCGATTATGGTGGAGCTTGAGCATTAGATCGAAACAAAAACTTATTTTTTTCCTTGCATGCCTGGTTTTCTGCATCCGAATTGATCATCGCTGTTCGTCTTTGTTGGATCTATGAATAATTGAATGAATGAAGGATTTGAATTGAATCATTTTAAAATTATGATGGGAAAAGTCCTAGTTTTGACTTCTGAGATATTTTGTACATTTGTTTGAAATTTTTTAATCACTTTAATCAAATGTATGCTTTTTGTTAAATTTTCGTATTTTACTTTGAACAGGTAAACTTTACAACAATGGGACTAAAATTTGATTCTGATATGTATGGCCTCTGCTTGTATAGATCATACAGTTTAGAAGGTTAAAAGATACTTTACGAAGGGTAGTTTGACTTAATGGGAGTTTTATGGTTCAATTGTGATGCACAAGACGGTGGCTATTCAGACCGCTGTGGTGGAAAATTAATATATTTGTATGTACAAATGCATGCATAGATGTGCCGTGTGTACAAGAGAGTTTGTTAGCACATCAAATATTTTTGCAGATTCAAGCATAATCATGGGTTTTTGGTCTACCTAAGGTTTTACAATTGCAGTGTTTTGATTTGCACAGATAGGATATTCAGAGACAATTAGTTGGTGCTCATGGGTACGGTTGTTGATGATGGAAAGAAGGTATATCTTGGGTTTTGTTTTGATTGAGGTTTCTGAAATCATGCACGGTTTCTTCTGGAAACTTTGTCAGTTAAGTTGATATTTCTAAATTTACTGGGAAATGATATGCTTTCATTTAGTCTTCTCCGGACTCCCGGCGGACGCTATTTTTTTATCTGGTTTCCGTATGTGCACCTTTAACGTTTGTTGTTTCATTTCATACTACTTCAAGCTTAAATTGAGAAATGCATCCTACCGCAGGAGGCTCAGCAGGAGGCTCAGCAGGAGGCTCTGCAGGAGGTTCAGCAGGAGGCTCATGGAAGCTTAGCTGATCTGAACCCTACAGTTGTTTTTGTATTGGGTAAGAAAATTATGGAACTAGAACTAGTTGTATTCTAATCATCCTTGTTTTTCTGAGCTGTTAGCAACCTGGGATAAGATCCACTAATCTTGGCTAGTGTTTTTAATATCCTTTTTCTCTCTTCGCTTAAGAGTTCAACGAAAATATGTGCGTGATTTAAGAGTCCTGTATGTCAAAGAGATGATGTTTTTGTATGATAGGTTGGCTATTTAATTTTTTATTTCAGTTAGCCATTATATGGGAAAACTAATTATTGATACGAACCTTAAGTTTGTCTACATTCCTCTCATTTGTTATCGTAGCTGTACTTTATTTATACATTTTGTGTTTGGTTTTTATTTTTTTCCTTTTTCCACTAGCTACACTAAAGCCTCCAGTCATTTCTATGGCACCACCCTTCCTTTTTTTTTTTTAGAGGTACCTATGGATGCTCTTATCAGTTGTTTCGTTTGATGTAATAGGTGGCCCAGGCAGCGGAAAGGGTACTCAATGTGCAAACATTGTTGAGCACTTTGGCTTTACCCATCTCAGTGCTGGCGATCTTCTTAGAGCAGAAATCAAATCTGGCTCTGAAAATGGGTATGGCATAGTTGTGTAGTCTACTTTTGGCTTTTTATAGTAGTGGGAGTGGGATACATGATGAAGGTAGCATTCTGCTTCTTGAGTATGGCAAAAGTATCTCCAGTTACCATGAATTCATATCCACCCAACAGCTTCACTTTTATAAGATTCTGTGTTACATTACTTGAGGGGCAAGGGTGACAATAAGGTTGTGGTTGGTTGCCTCTGTTGGGTAAACTGATCCTGTATCACACCATTTGAGTAAAAGAAAGAGAATGCTCAGGATCAAAATTAGCTTTTTCCAATACAGTTAAACACTAGAAAAAGTGTTTCTGCAGAAGTGTCTTGTTTTATGTCCTTTTGATGAAAAACGCTTGCAAAGTTAGTCTAGACTCTGGACTTTGTATGCCCATCAAAAATTGTTTTACATGTCTCATGTAACAACACTTTTTTAATGGTTTACAGGACCATGATTTCGGATATGATTAAAGAAGGAAAGATTGTTCCTTCCGAAGTAACAATTAAACTTCTTGAACGAGCAATGCTGGAAAATGGGAATGATAAGTTTCTCATTGATGGGTTTCCCCGTAATGAGGAAAATCGTGCTGCATTTGAAGATGTGGTGAGCCCTCTGGATAATCTTTCGTTGTGACTTAAGTACAGTTTGTGGTAATTGACTAGTTTTCATAGTGGTTTATTTACTTGTTTAACCAATGGTAAACCGTGTTAATGATTTTGCAGGCTAAAATCGAGCCTTCATTTGTCTTGTATTTTGACTGTTCTGAAGAAGAGATGGAGAGGCGGCTTTTGGGTAGGAACGAGGTAAAAATATGATTTTTTCTTGTGGAAGAATTTGTATATTGTCTTGATATAATGATATCATCTCTTTTTGTTTCCAAACTAATTGTATTGATGTTTTTGTGTTTCATTTGTTGGGCCAATGAAGGGAAGAGAGGATGATAACGTAGAAACAATAAGGAAGCGGTTTAAGGTTTTCCAAGAATCTAGTCTCCCTGTGATAGAGTACTATAACTCCAAGGGGAAAGTTCAGAAGGTAATTCTTCAATTGATTTTACTTATTTTAACAATATAGTCTTTCATGTTTGTTGGAATCATTGTTGTTTCACTCTCAGATTGATGCCAGAAGGCCTATTGAAGAGGTTTATGAGTCAGTAAAAGCTATTTTTGCACCAAAAGATGAGAAGGTAAATGGCCATCGCCATACTTTGATGGAATGCTTAATCTTGTTCTGGATGAAATGGTGTAAGATTTGACCGGGAAGGGAGTTCATGTGGGGTATCTTTTCTTACTGGTGTGGTTTTGTAAATATAACTAGTGAAACAAATGCTTTAGGATTGTAGTAAGCTTTTCTAGAAATCGAGGAATTTGAATGACCTAAGCGTGATGTTAGTCTTAGATTGATTATGTTTCCACATCAACTAATTGTAATCACAATTGTGGCATACCAAATTGATCACGTAAAGTAATCAATGATAAGAATGTAGCTGCCAGTCAAATGCATAGCCATAAAATGCAAACTAGAACTAAGTATGAACACAAATTGGTGCTATTGGCTAGCTAAAACGAAACGGAAAGAGAAAATGACGAGAAATTTCTTAGCAAATTTTGATACGGGTTGGAGTTTGAAAGTAATGGGATGGGTATTAACAGTAATCTGTCTCTAGCATTAACTGGACCTGCATCAAGAACAGAAATCTAGATGCACATTTTACATTGTGGAATCTAGCGTACCGTGACTCATCTGCACATTTTGCGTGTCATTGAAGTTAACTCTAACTACATTTAATAAGAATATCGTGTTGTTTTTCCCCCCTCTAGCATACATTTGAATATGTGTATATTTTCCCTGTCATTGACGTCAATTCTTGCTGTTACAGGCCGATTAATTGCTGCGGTTGTAACCAAGATTTCAGATCCTATGTCTCTTGAGGTAAGACCTTCATCTTGAACCACAAGAATAAGAGTTTACACGTGGGATGATATTACGTGGTTTTGCTTCATTTTGCACATAAGCACACATTCTCCTTTTCACTTTCCATTTGGGACCAGGAATCTAAAAACTCGAAATAGAATATAGGAATGGAATATGAGAACCCAATTGACAGACCCCATATGTCTGGAATAAAGGCAACAATACCAATAATGCCGATGATGGTGTGTTTTCCATCTTCGACCGGGAATCCGAACTATTCTTGCCACTTTTAAGGTTGATAAATATGATATTCTCACACTACTCAAAAATTTGTTAACAGTGTGCGTTGTTTAAAATTGGTTTGTGATCATTGGCCGAAAACCAGACTTCCCAAATCAACTGCTTTGCAAACTGAGATTACTTTCACTGAACATGTTCGAATGACCATACAGCCCATGTTTCGTTAGAATCGCCACACCTGTCCCCACATTACGTATAGAAAATTACTGTTTTCACCGAACGCCAATATTAACGCTTTCTGTTTCAGGTGATGCAATTGCGGGCTGCATATATTATATTCTTTGGCAGGTTTATTCCTGATGCCTGCTTACTATAGAAGGTTGTATTATTATTCTACACAATTGAGGTGTATCCCTCTACTCTCATATTGTCATTGTATTCTATCTTTAAGATTTGTAGTGATAATTGTTCGAATAATGTTCCGATTCGAGTTTGATGCGATGCATTTTTGGTTACTCTGGGAATAAAGAGCTCAAATTACATAAAATGTTGAAGGACACCAATCGAGTGATTCACTTGGAAAGATTGTTCATGTGAGGAAGTCAGTTAAATGTTGCGTGGTATGTAAGGCGCCCGGTTTGGGCGTTGCTTATAATATAGAAAGCATATTTACTCGTAAGCGTTTTTGTTAAAAATGGCTTTTATTTGAAGCACTTTCTTCTCAGAAAAGCACTTGGAAGTGACTTTTGAAAGCTTCTCCTAAAAGCACTTTAAAGCAAAAGACCCGAGAGAGAGGAAAATGAATACGGAAATGACAATGAAATTGATGCTTAGGTTCTAAACAAATATGATGCCATTATCCTTAATGGTATCGAGAACGATTCCAAGCCTACCCTCAATCCTCTCATTCTTTTTGGGTTCAAAAGACATTGCAAACACATCAGCATCCTTGCACCTCTCTGCAATCAGGTTTCCTACAACTCGACATGCTTCGTTATCGGTAAGCGATGGCAACGAATACCTCAAATCCTTGGAGTTTGTGCTGGCCACGGATATCACTTTGCTGGTACCCCTGTGCATCACTTTGGCATGGATGAATCGTTTTGAAAAGAAAACATCCAGTAAAAATGGCCTCATGTACATTTCTGTCCTTTGACTCCACGATTTCCTATTAGGTCTATTTGCAGCCTCGCCTCGAGATCTCCGGGTCCATGCAGCTCGAATGAAGGAATCCTGAAAAACAAGCAACAGAAACTCGAATCCTGTTTATCCGTTTCAGTGGTTGAAAGTTTAACTGAGGAAGCATTTGACTTAGCAAATCAATCACGACTGACTTGTAAAACTTGAACTAACCGAGGCCATAGTGACTATAATAAAAGACCTAAAGATTTCTACTTTGTACACGGGATAAAAAAAAAATAGACAACGGATAATTCACAAGTATAACAGAGTACCTCTTCCAATTTGGTCATGCACCTATAGTTTGTAGCAACGATTATTTCTCCGAACAAGCATGAATAAAGGGACTCGTAAACTAAAAAAGGTATTTGAAGTTGTTGAATGGCTACCCTAAGGATAAAAAAAAAACGATGAAGGGTTGCCTCCAAAACAAATTTTGCAAGGGGGAGATAATGCAGGTGAACTTTGTCAACAGCAAATACCATTCTTTAACTTGTAAAGTAGTTCTAAATTGTCTACGAATACTTCATGATGATCGATCTTTCTAAGCATCATCTGTCTCTAATTTCATTTCCTAATCGTTTGGTCGAGACATCAAAATGTGTTATTAAACAGTTGCTCCGACATTCATATACCAAATAGTTGAGTTCCACCATAAGATCAATGTCGCGAAGATTTATCTCAAATGTGCCAAAACCAACAAATCCGTTTCAACAACACAACGCAGTTGCAAATTTCCACATATAAAATTGGTCCATAACCGTAAGCAATGTAATGTAATAATTCGATTAACAGTGACCGAATATAGTCTTAGAAACCACTCGCTTGTTACCCTAGTAATGTCCTCCATTACGGTTCACATTTCCCACACACAAATCCTTCCTTCCCACAACAAACTCGAGATCTATAATTTCCAAACATTACAACTTCCATTGTCCTAGTAATTTCATCAAACACCGTAGCTGCACTAATGGAAACGGGTAACCCTAAATTATGCATGCATTGACAAAACACGATTCAATTCATGCCATCAGATCAGAAAATCAATGGTTGCGAACAATTTCCAACATTTTCCTCATGGTAAATATTGGGATTCAGTATAAGAAAAAAACGTCAGGTAAGAAAAGAAAGAGAAAGAGGAAGTAATGGAAGCGTGCCTTGTTGGGGGTGTGAATGCGATTAGGAGGGCTTGTGGTGCAATTGAAGGAGACGCCGAAGTTGGGAAAGGAAGATGCCCATGAGAGCCGGCTGGGTTTCACCGAACCACTTCCACAGGGGTTTGACAGCGGCGGCGGCAGAGGAGGAGCTGATGTGCAGCAGGCCATTCAGAGCAACGACGAAGGTTTCTTCCTCTCTTACTAAGCGGATGAGTACTTTTGCAGGAAATCCCACGTGTGAGGCACGTGGGGAGGAAAGGAAGATAGGCTTGGTGGGAAAACGAGGTTGACATGTATGACAAACTAGGTTTTAATTTGGTTCTCTACTTTTTTAATGTTTGTTAAACATTTAGTTTTAGTTTTATAATTTTGGGTGAAAAAAAAATTAAAAACACAAAACTGTAAAACCCAGCTTTGAAAAATCAGTTTTTTTTTTCACATCTGTTTTACATAAAAGTTTATTAAACACTATTTTACTGTTTTATTTTTTTTTCAAAAGCATTTTTACAAAAAATTTTACCAAACACTCTGCTACTTTATTTCATAGCTGCTTATTCTCACAGCACAACAGAAATAGTTTTTTTTTTTTTCAAAGTACAGCAATACCAAACCAGCTCTTAGTAATTTGGTCTGGTGGTTACCGTGGTTTTCATCTTTCCTCATAACTGAGAAATTTTAGGTTCTATTTTTTCTAAAGGTGAATTTGAACTGAATTATGCTAACCCATTGTGAAGCTTAGTCCACTTTCTACCTTTAGTATAAATAATATCATTTGTTTAAAAAAAAAAAAAAATCTACCTTGCTAGCCATGGGCCAGCTAATTCATGTTCTACTCTCCATAAAATGAGGATGAACTTACATGGTATGGCGGCACACCTTTTTTTTTAATTAATTTATTATTATTAAATAAATTTAGGATTCGAAATTATTATAATAATTTAAAGGAGGAGAGTATAGAATCCGAGATGAATAGGTGAAAATCTAACACCCTATCCACTAAGATGCTGGATCATCTCCATTGTGGCATTTCGTATAGCTATCTACATAATACTCTACCATATTCGGTAGATATTAAAAAGAAGAACTGCTCAATTAATCCGTTAATCTTATTACTTTATAATATTTATGACACGATAACAGCGCACTCGTGTTATATAAATTTGGCCTTCAAAAATTAGCCTCACCTCATCAGTATAACGATGTATACGGATATTGGTATGTCCGCTCCTGTAATGTATTAATACAAAGTAAATTACCGTGTAATCCTTTGAGGAAAAAAGTAACTACCCAGAATTTGACACGTGGACTTAGAGCAGATCTACCCAGAAACAAGAGGAAAAAGAATTAAAAACTGAAATGGACCGGTCGCGTCAATTAGCAAAAACCGGAAACAGACTCCCCTGCCCCTCTGTTGCAGTGACTCTCCGCTGCAAACACGAAGAAGAAGAAGTAAGAGCAATGGAACAGCAACCGAAACGCCGTCGTTCTCCACGATGCGCACTCCCACACAGTGCTTCCGAGCTCTGAGAGACATTCGCCCCCTTCAAGATACACGAGCAAACAAGAACCGGAGTCACAACGACCCCAAATGTTGCCGCGCAGGTTGTCCGCCATTTTCGGAGGCCTCGGTTCCAACGCCAAGGCTCTAACCAGCGACCTCCTTCCCACTCTCAAGCTACAAACCGATAAGGAAGTCTACAGGCCCGGCGATCCCATCGTCATCACCGTCGAGATTTCAAATCCTAGCAGCAATGACGGTTCGGCTTACTCGCTCTTGATTGAGCGCCTAGGGTTTGAGATCAAGGGCATTGAGAAGCTCGATTCGCAGTGGTTCGCCACGCAGAAACCGACCACCGGATCCAAACAGAGGAGAGGTAGAATCAAAAGTAGATAAAGTGAACGAATTTTATGATTTGATTGCCTTTTTTTTCGTTATTTACTTGTGATTTTGTGTTACATGAAACGTTTAGGTGAATATGTGTTCATGGAGTGCTCAACTCCTGCGCTGGTTTCGAATCAGATTGTTTCGCCCGGGGGTACAAAATCATGTGAGTAATTAGTTGTGATGTTGTTTATGTGTATTTTGTGTTGTAGATGTTAGGACTTAGGATTTAAATGGAGAAATATCAAACGAACTATCGTATTTGTTAGAATAGGTAGTGTCTTTGTTGTTCTTTTGACTGATAAATGCATTTCATCGAAGTTGGTTCTAATTGCTAAGATTGGTCTTAAGAATGAATAAGGTACTGAGCTAGGGAAGGTAGCATTTCCTCTGTAGTACTAAACCAACAAGTCGCGTAAATTAACCAAAGACTAGTATTATGAAGGAGTAGGTGATTCTGCCAAAGTAGCACATTAATTTCGACAACAAACACCTTGCTTGGCTAAGAATTCAACCTTGATGTTCAGAAACCATCCCCTATCTTAATCAACTGGGAAACCTGCTCAAAGAATAAACCAGATGTTCACATTAGGAAGGTGGAAAAGAAAGGGGAGAGTAAGAGAATGGGATTGGGATTGGGGGGAGTGGTTCTTGAGGTACTTAAGGGACATTATACAAGTGCTTCATTGAAACAGAGTTCTGCTTCTAAACTGAATTTAGGCTAGTGCTTTATTGTTGTCAAACGAATGGTAACGTGAACCTGATCTGTTGATAATAAAATTTGAAAGGATGGTGACATGGAGCTTTAGCTTATCTGAAGAAGAGAGTTTATGTTGGAATTGTTTTGGTCTAAACTTCCTTTCTGTTAATATTCAATGTTTTCTGCAGATGTGGTGCGGTCGTTGCTGGCCCCTGTTATACCACCATCGTACAAAGGTGCCACCCTTCGATATATGTATTATGTTAGAAGTACAATGTCTGGACAATGGCTGATATTGGAGAATCCCCACTCTCGTGGAGAATCAGTGAAAGATTTTCCTGAAATGGTTGGTTTTCTTTGACTTATCATGATGGCTGTTTACGTGACTTTTCTCCTTTATGATTGATTATGCACTTGCTTTATTGAATTATAGTTATTTCTGCCTCTGAATATCATAGTCTGCTCATATTGCACCCTGATAAATTAACATTGTTCTTTAACAAACTTTATAAATGAATATGTTGATTGAGAAATGGGCTTGTCATTTATGAGAGTGGAATCTGCTTCAAAATATACCAAAGACTTATCTGTAGTAATCAGTATATGCAGGAATCAGAAACTTTTATTTTCATCCAGATTCTGTTTTAAACGTAATCAACACTGTGTATCCGTGGTGGTCCTTATCAAATATATGCTTAAGTAGAGTCATACATATGCATACATACATAGAGATTTGTGTCCATGTGTGAGTGTGAATCTGTGTTTAGGTAGATATTGGTAAAAATACCTCTGCCTGTACATGCTAGTCTTTTTCATTTTTTATGTTGAGGTGATATGTCAACATTTTGATGTGTGAACCTCATCAACTTTAAACATCCAGGAAGCTCGTGTTCCAATACAAGTATGGGTCACTCAGAAAACCAGTGGATTGGGAATGGAAGAAGGTCAAACAGATGGTGAGTTTTTCCTTTATTTTTGTTACTCTGGGATGTAAACCTGTATGCCACTGCTTCGGCTTTCAATAAATAATTCAGCCTGAAATGTGTAATTTTGAAGTGAATTGGAACGACCATTTGCCACTGGTTTAGTATTAGTAGTTATGATTATAACTAAATCGTAGTACAATGCATCAGGCTTGGCAAATTTATTGGAATTGAGCATTCTTATGCATCTAGCAGATCAGTTATGAGAGCCTGATTGGACCCTCTATGTTATAACAGGGCATCTTCTGTACTAAGTGAATTTATTAAATGGAACCATTACAAAAAATTGGAGCTATCAACTTGGTGATGGGATAGAATCAATTTTAGAAAAATGTAAAATATTTCTTTTCCAATTTTTTAAATGTAGGTAAGATCTCTGTCAATTGTGTAAGAGTAGTAATGAATTTGTGGTTTACAGTACATAAATGCTGCAATTCAAGTTCTTTTGGGCAACAGACAAGCCCTTGAATACTGCTCATATTCTTCTTATAATACATTTTTGTATTTTTTTTCAAGTAATTATCCTTGTACTAGTACAGTATAAAAGATACTACTGTACTAAACTATGTCTTATTTTTGAGTTTCTGCATCTTAATCATTTTAAGATATTTTTCTGTCTTTAGATATATCCATATATCTGTTTGGTTTGATATACATGATTGTTTGTCTATAAGTTAAGAAATAATAGTCTATGCATGTTGGATTATGTTTTGAGATATTTCTGTCATTTATGTGTTTACAGGGATTGTGCCTTCTGCAACCATCCAAATGGATATGTATTGGAAAGAGATGGATGGCGACTCTGATTGGGTAGGCTCATACTACCACAATGTCTTTCTGCATTTATATGTTTCTAGGAATTGCATTTCTTTCTTTTCAGGCATGCAAAGTCAGTATAGAGTTCCCTATTTCAGCAATATTTGTCTCTTGTAGTTTCGAAATAACAAATGTACTCATCCATTTTATCGTTAATAAGGCGAACTAATTCATCTTACAGGTGAGAGCTAATGACATATATGATGGGGTTGAAGAAGGTTATGAAAGCTCAAAGGATGAGATCTCATCCGTTTCTTCATACAATCCTATGAAAGAACATATAAACAGAACATTTGGAAGTTCACTATCCTTGCAGTCACAAAGGTCTTCAAATAAGGATAGCCCTTATCTTGAAGGAGAGCGTACAAGTTTATCTTCAAATCTAGCAATCCCACGACTCTCTGTGGCTGAAGTCTTATACGATACTGGTCCTGGTGAGTTCTACGACCACCTAGAAAAAGCTTCAAGTCTTATGCATTGAGCATGTCATTGCTGTGCTTATTTCCAAAATAGTTTCTGTGGTATTTCATCCATTTTGTTGAGTTATAGTTCCTTTTATATTGTTTAGTTAAGATTGCAATTTCTTCAGAATTTCCTTACAAGTCAGAATAGCCTTCTTAGTGACAAATTACTTTGTCAAACAGATCTTTCATTGCCCCTGAATTCATCTTCCATTGGCTCTCCAAGCCAGCTGCAGAAGCTTACAAAACGTCTTTCTTTGGATGATGAAACAAGGGCATCTTCTTCACCAGCATCTGGAGTTGTTGAAACCGTAGCATGTAAGTTAGTGCACTTCTTATTCTTCTTATACATCTTCTATGCATTGGTTTCTGTTTTTGTAATAAGTCCTTGAAAACTAATTTTCTG